AAAGTAACATAGCAGAAGATTTCAAGAATTTAACTTAAGGAGGTTGTTAAAAAACACAACATATCTAGAACCGGTGAGTAAGGCAACCAGTGAAGTGATCACAGAATGATCACTACAATAAAGTGAAGATCAGCAAGCTGTACCGACACTAACAGATTTAACTAAAACCAACAGCAAGCCATAAGATCTCAAAGTTTACCACAAGGAAGTCTAAAAGGATCACAGTCCCAAAAGTCTCATCAAGTCTCTTGAGGCAAAGCTGTCCAGCAGCAGCCGTGGAGGACAACAGACTAAATCTGAGTCCCTCTCAACAGGTGACAAACACCTGTTTTAAAGACTGGACCGTCGCAGCCTAATAGGTTCCAGCTGGGATTCTGGCAGGAAGCTTCTTGCTAGAGGGTCGCTCACCTTGGTGCTGATCCTCCAGTGGGCTTCTGGACTTCTCATGTGGGGTCCACAACTCACAGGGCTCATAACATCTACCCCGTAAAAAGGCAAAGAACATCAATAAAATGAAGCAAAGGTGATGCTAACTGATTCAAGACAAATAATAATAATAATAATAATAATAATACTATGTCTGGCCAACAGACCAGACATAGTCATCAAAAACAAAGAAGAGAAGACCTGCCTCATGATTGATATGACCATCCCATCTGAAAAAAATGTCACCACCAAGGAGCTTGAAAAGCTATCAAAGTACAAGGACCTGGAAATAGAAGTCACAAGAATGTGGGGGATGAAGACAACAACAATACCCGTCGTAGTGGGTGCACTTGGCCTCATCAAGAAGGGACTGGAAAAGAGAACAAAACAGAATCCTGGAAACCCAACAGTCCAAGAAATCCAGAAGATTGTTCTTCTCGGAAGTGCCCACATCATCAGAAGGACGCTTTCCATAAACTAACCCTGAAACTGCCTTAGAAGCATGGATTTATTCTGGCACTTCAGTGAAAGCATACAAATATACAAAAAAAATATATAATAATAATAATAATCTGGCTTAAGGGTGACAGACAAGTGGAATCCCTCTAACGACCTAACCAATACCTATCTAACTCAAATCTAGTCTTCATGTGGTTGTTGGTGGGTTGATTAAACTTGAAATCAGCAAAATAGTGAGGTAGCCCATTTCAAAAGCCTGCCCCAATGTTACATGGGGAGGCCCCGAGATGGCTACCCAAAGATAGACAACACTTGTCCCCGTTCGTCACAACACTATATAAAAAAAAAATAATAAAACCCAGGAAAATCCCTAAGGGGATAATCCTCTATGACCTATAAGGGTCCCACTTTATACCAGACCTACAGAATATTTTAGAAAAAAAACATTACATTTTCAGCTCCCTTGTTGTGCTGTTTTTGCATTTGTGCTGAAAACTGACCATCTGCTTTCTGTCAGTGTTTGGCTTTAAAACTGATAGGCCTAAAACCAGCCATTATAAAAAATCCTAATTCATCACAATTAGGGAAATTAGCACAGAACCAAATCTCACCTTTCAACACTGGATATGTAGCGGCTCTACTCCCAGCCTCGCACACATATTGAAGCTCCCTGAGCTGGGGTGGGCGTGGCTGCCATCAATGACAGAAATGGCTCATTCTGGAAAGTACTGAAAATGCAATGTAAAGTTGCTGAAATTGTGGTGTGAGACAGGATTTGTGCAAAGAACTTCATAAAATGATTTAATGAACATGTATAGACCATAGACATAACTAAAAAAATGATAAAATGTCTGCTCTTTAATGGGATTCTTAGCTTTCATATTTGCTCTGGGCATCACGACTAGGGGTCATTTAACCCTACAACATAGACATGAATTTCTAATAAATGCATTCATTTGCTTTCAGAAATTTTATCTTAGTCTTTTTTTATTGTAAATCACAACAGCCATCTAAATGTCCTGATATCCTGCTGCTCGTGGGCACCGGGGTGAAAAATCTCTATTTATAAGATTAAACTGCAGAAGCTTGTGTGTAGTATTAAAAGAGAATGCAAGAGCGGTACAAATCAATTTTTGTTCAATGTCCATTTCCCTTTTAGTCTTTGCCTTAGAAGCTTCATTCCCCACAAGGGTCACGAGTGTGTGAGCAAAGGACACAAAACCTTTAGGATTATGTTTGTCCTGTTTCCTTTTATCTGGGGATCCTCTAGAGGGTAAAGCTTTCTACTCTGTTGGACGTCCTTATAATCTTTCACTTATAATCTTAAAAAAGTAAGGCTGGAATTTTTTCAAATAAACTAAATCAAATAACAAATTGCATGGGCTTCTCCAGGGACATATTTTTCTTGTATTATGGCAAAAAATCCAGTTTCTGTTTATATGATAATGACTAATTAAATGATCAATTAGTGAATCTATATTTTTTACTTCCTAATATTTTTATATGTTTAAATATATTTAGCTGGCTGCACAGTGGCACAGTGGTTAGAGCTGTCGCCTTGCAGCAAGAAGGTCCTGGGTTCACTTCCCAGCCTGGGATCTTTCTGCATGGAGTTTGCATGTTCTTCCTGTGCATGTATGGGTTCTCTCCGGGTACTCCGGCTTCTTCCCACAGTTTAAAAACATGACTGTTAGGTTAATTGGTCTGTCCAAATTGTCCTTAGGTGTGAGTGTGTGTGTGTGTGTGTGTCTGTGTGTGTGTGTGATTGCTTGTCCTGTGTGTCTCTGTGTTGCCCTGCGATGGACTGGCTCTCTGTCCAGGGTGTACCGCGCCTGATTGCCCATTGACCGCTGGAGATAGGCACCAGCCCCCCGTGACCCTACGTGGACAAAGCGGGTTCAGAAAATGGATATATTTAGCTGCCAGAAGATTATTTTCATAGACCTTTTTGTTGCTCTGTTTTCCAGTGATTTTCCATTGACCAACCCTACTAGTTCAACATCTCTAGCTTTGCCGATTATCAAACCACCTTCCCATGGACTAAAGTGTCAACATGTGTTTGGTCCCTACAGTCAGAAGACTGCAGCACTGAGTGGAGATCTGAACTGTTTAAGTTTCTCCTGAAGTGTTTGCTCTGAGGATTGGACACCCCGAGAGCAATTGGTTTCCAATACCACGGACATTGCCTTGACCAGCTGGCTGAGAAGGAATTATTTCCGGAAGCTCCAAGCTTACTAGCAGGGCAGAAGGAAAGTGAGATTAGAAGTCGTCTTCCTGCCTGTGGAAATACCATAGGTTAAACCACCTGCTGGCCTGAGGAGGTTTTCTTTAGCTTGTGTTACAATCTTCCGTTTTTGACGCAGCGAAGCCTGAGACATACTAAATGTTATTGTTTCTTCTCTTTTTGTCATTTCCCTTTTGTGCTCAACCTTTCAAAGAGACCATTAATCACAGCCAGGCACAAAACAACAGTCTGTGTGGTCCCCTCGTTTAGTCCGGGACTGATGTTGTTTTTGTTTTCTTTCTTTCTTTCTTTCTTTCTTTCTTTCTTTCTTTCTTTCTTTCTTTCTTTCTTTCTTTCTTTCTTTCTTTCTTTCTTTCTTTCTTTCTCATTTTGACTTGGTCTTTCTTCTTTAGCCACTTTTCTATACACTATCTTTCTCTTCCCTGTCAGCCCCCTATGCCTATCTAACCTCTGTGCATGATTAACAACTGCAACCCCTTTGTTCTCTCTCTGTTTGTCTGAAGTATTAAGGGGGTGTTGCCTCATTGGATTGAATTAATTGATTAATACTTTTATCCAATTCGTGTTTCATCATCCATTTAATCAGCTGGCTGAGGTTGTGGCCACTTTATCAGCAGGACACAAGGCAGGCAGATGCCATTGGTTCTGTACGGGATGAACAATTACCTCTGTGGTTCTCATTCTTGAAATTTTCCCTCTAATTTGCCATCACTCTGTAGCTTAAGCCACTATTTTTGAACTATTGTTAAATAGTAAATTCAGAAACTGACTTTACTCCTGATATTCTCAACCTTACGAGCATCGTATGGGGTTTATTGGTCAGGAACACAGTGAGGAATTGTTTCTCTTTTTATATTTTAATAGAACATTTTGCACACAGCAATCCACCATAGTAATATAATGCTTAGCAGGTTCCTAATCTGCCACCAATAACATATTTACGTCTCTTTATAGTTGAAGACCCTCTAAAAATGTCTGGTACTGGGAGCATTAGCAACAGAACCCCTGGACATTGTCAATTTACAGAATGGATCACTGCGGACTATGGCTCATTCTCAGAGATGTTGTCATATCCATTGAACTTGGTTTCCAAGGAATTTTGTGGCTGGAAAAATGCATCAGTAATTTTAGCTCAAGCTGAATCTTGCTGTGCTACAACTGCTGGTCACTAGATAAAAACACATATTTGCACCAAAATATTTGAGGTTTTGGATGGGATCACCATGACCTTATGCTGCAGGTTTAAAATATAAGGGCACATGTGAAATGTATTGAAACATGTAGACAGCCTTGCAACTGGTCGCCAACATCTCCTAAAGTTGTGTCACCATGTTTTGCCCTTGGGATCCACAAAAGTCTGTTTTGAGAGAACTCATAAGGAAAATACGATGAAGCCCTTCAACAAATGCAAGGAAATTGAGGGCTGTTACAAATGGTTTGACATTTCACACATTACCTATCAACTTCCATTGGCTATGTGGCCCTAACAGGTGCAGTGCAGTAAGATGCTGGCTTTTATGTTTTTGATTCAGTTCAAGTGTCTAATATCTGTCTGCAAGGTGTGTTGGAAGGTCTCCCAGAGGAACACTGTTTCATTTCAATGAAAGCCCGTTTCTGTGAACACTCAATTCTGCTCAGGGTTGGGGGGGGTTCCTACCCCACAGTCCAATGGACAAACGGCTAGGCACATTCCTACAATATGTAGTGCTTCTGTCAAAAAAAATATACTGTCTACTAAAAAGCAACTTATTTAGAATGTGATGACTAGATTTTATCCACATATTGGAAGTAACAACTTAATAACCTGCCCTTGTCTGTCTTTAAAGATGACTACTGCATGACTTCTTCTCTTGTCTCTTCTGTCTTACAGGTCCTTTGACTCACTGATGGAGCTGTCATTATGGATAAAATAATTACATAGAACCTTTTGAAAAATGAGGTCTTCAACCAGTGGATTGATCTGAAGGTCAAAACCATGAAAGATCAAACATAATCACCAACGGTAAAATCAGCTGGCCTTTTCTCAGTTCAAGGTTTCTTCTTCAGAAAAGCAGATTGTTCTCCTAAAGGAAATGGACTGTGAACGTTTTTTAATTAATTATTATTTTTTTTTTTTTGTCATTTTGCAACTGCTTAGTCTCAAACCACATCACTCTACTCCCTAAAAGCGAAGTGGACTAAAAGGGATGTAGAAGGAAACCGGCCTGGGTGCATATCTGCAGAATCAAAAATGAAGAAAGTGTGCCAGTATCAGCTTTGAAGGCATGTTCCTCCATTCCCTCGTGCCTTTGTTTCCACATAATTTCCCTTCTGACCAGTGAGACAATCTAGTAAAATCTGATGTTTTTGTTACCTGCAAACCTGAAAAAGGTATTTCCCAAACAGTTTGTTTCACTACTGCAGGTCATACTTTGAAGAATCGTAAGAAACTCTCCACAGGGGAGCAGATACTAAGAAAAATCAGAATGACCGACCATGTTGCAATACAAGCAGCTTCTCCCTGGGTGGTACAAATCCATTATGCGCCATGACCTGCCCTGTATTCAGCAGATAACTTCAGATTGATTTGTGATCCCATGGATTAACTTTCAAGTTCATTCAAAGATAGCTTTTAAGTTTGCCCCGGTGGAGCTGTATTTGACCCAGAACTACAAGTGAAAAACTATGCCTGCACACGTCATTGATACTTAGAGTTCATGTAGACATCAGCAAGCTCATTTTTTTATTTTTTATTTTTATTTTTTTCACCAATATGGTTCCTTTTTGGATATCGGGACCTCAGACACTGTTGGCAGTACTGGGTCTTCTTTGCTGCTTTAGTTCTGAAGCATCAAGGACTAGTGGAACGGTCCCAGGAGGGATCAAACAGGAAGGAGCATCATCACTTGAACGAGTAAAGAGAGGATGGGTATGGAACCAGTTCTTTGTGGTGGAGGAGTACACGGGCACAGAGCCACTATACGTAGGAAAGGTAAGACCTTAATTTCATTATATCATTTAACATTACATGATTATTGTGTATTTTGGATGTATGTAAGTGCATTTTTTCTGGGTTTGGTGCACTTTTAAAATTCAAATTGTGTTGTTTTAACTGCAAAAACAAATTACTACAGATAAATGTGTGAATTTTAGGATTAATTTATATATATAGGTAGGATGTTAAGCCCACATTTTCTGGATGATGCTATTGAGCCTGGGAATGATGTCGGGGCGAGTCTGTCCCAGCAGTGTATCAGTTATTCCTGCTGCTTTTTGGTGAACTACTAGGTAAAAGAAATGAGGTTGGAGCAGCGATGTTCAAGTCTATCACAGTTGCTTAACTTAAACTCAAACTAACAAGTCGTTGCCCTCATAGTAACCCTCTATAGCTGTGAATGTGGTTCTTTGAGTAGGTACTTAGCCCTTTAACTTCAAACACTACTCAAGGATTTCTTAAACAGAAAAGATCTAAAACGTAAATTCACCGTTTATAAGAAAGTATATTGAAAGTATTTTGGTCCGTCAACAGTTTTGGTTGTACTTTTGTGATTTCCAGAAATGCAACATAATACATTTACTTTAACAACAGTTTATTTATTTATTTATTTATTTTTGTTTGGTGTTTTCTAATGCAAAATTTGGACTTCCTGCCTAAAATTGGCTCACTCCTCCTGCTTCATGAATTTTGCATGAGTCAACAATAAATGCACATAATTGTCTTTATTTAGCACCATTTGTTGCTATAGTCAAATACAGATTTGTGGATGTAAAAGGCAATAAGCACCAAGGGATACGATCTAATCAGACCACATTATTTCACCGTGCCAGTGGTGCCCTTCTCAATTGCTGAGGACATTTCCATGAGTCCAGAAAATAAACATTGAACTGTATTTTATAAATCCAGTCAGAAGTAATGAATCTAAGTCAAATCTAATCAGTTTTCAATCATTTTAACCTCGTGCATACTGTACATTTGGGGACATTTTCCCTAGTTTTTTTTTTCTTATTTTTCACATCCTATTAATAATCTGCTACAAAAATGAGCCTCAGTGAGCTGATGAGAGTGGACAGTGTGTGCATTTGAAGTGCTATACATGGGACGTGATATGAAAAGACAGAACATAAGGGCAGCCAGATTGAAACACATGCTCACACACACACACACACACACACACACACACACACACACACACACACACACACACACACACACACACACACACATATCAATCATACAATCTCCTTGTTCCTAATCGTTTAGACATGGCAGCTGACCAGCTGATATTGCTCCTGCATGTACTGATCTTTACCTTTTTGCAAGTGAATGGGGGGGGGGGGGGGGGGGGGGGGGGGGGTTCTCTGCAGCTTGCAGGGCATGGTGCTTCAAAATAATTATCCTTTGAAGATCACTTGTCTGCTTTTTTGTTACTGTGATGCATTCCTGCTGGGAACACCAAAGCATGGCCAACAGGCAGGACCAGCAGAACTGAAATGAGCGGTTAACATGAGAAAGAATGTAGAAAATGGAAAATGCAGAATAAAAAAAATCATAATAAAGTCTGATTTGTTGTTCATTACAGACCAGTGTGCCAGGGAAGGCAGCAAACTGATACAACATTTCTGAAAAGCACTTGAGGGACTGTCACAGCAGGGAAGACTGGAGTTTATTCATAAAATTATCACACTTCATGTGACTAAGGCAGTGGCTAGAGCCACCACCGCTAATAGTGCTCTGTGTGAGGTCATTGTGAGACATTTTCTCTCACACACGCATGGATTCTGAACAGTGTTAATTAAAGCTGCATGGGTACATGTTTTATTTTGATTTTTTTCTTAATATTAACATTAATATTAAGTAGGGGTTAACACTTTATATAAAAGTTAATTAATGTTTAATAATGCAAGTAACGTTAATAAAGGGACTCTTATTGTAAAGTCTTACTGAATACCTATTGATTTGCTTGCCAATGCAACAAAAACAACAAAGTTCAGGTTGTCTTGCACAGTTTTAGGTACTTTTCACACAATTTGATTTGTGTTTCTGGCATACATCTTATTTTCTGTCTCAGCTTGAACAGAAGAGTGTTTGTACAATAAATGCTCAAGTTGCTTCTTTGTCTAATTTTGACTATCTAAGCCAAATGAAACAGATGGACTCATATCTTTTGGTGACTGGACGTGTCTGTCTTTGTAAAGAGTAGCAGCTTGATTTATGTTGGTGTATTCATGATGTGATTTTGGCTGTTCCAGGTTTGGCTACAAAATAAGTTTCACTGGCGTTTAAAATGCAATTCTGCAATTTACATAGATCCTATTGATGTGAGAAGACTTCATGTAAGAAGAACACAGCAATAAAATATTGGATGACATAATGTTGAGTATTGTTAAAAATCCTTTGATTAGTAATTAGTAAGTGGAAGATAATGTCTGTGCTCCTTTTGTCACATTCAAAAGACATCAGTGGATTTTTGGGAGGTAGTGTATCTTGTATGTTTAACGATAAGGCCTTTCAGAAAATGAGCATCATAGAACATCAATAGTCAGCATGTGGTGGTAGTGTGATGGTCTGGGACAGCTTTTGCTCTGTCAGAAGGCTAAACCATCACAGAACTGTTGCACAATGATTCAGCAGTCACATTTGATTTAGAGAAAAGGGCACATTTTTCTCTTTGTGTTTGATGCGGCCCAAAAGCCATTGCTGAAGGTCAGTTGAAACTCAAATAACTGTGATAGAACATGTCTTCTGTTATAGAGGAGCCAGTGTAGAGCAAACAGACTTAATGAAGCCAGTTGCCCTTGATTGAATCCACATAATGCAGTTTGTCAGGAGGCTGAAGTCGACCAAACTGCCAAGTAAACCTGACGCCTGCACTAAATTTGTACCATGTGCAGCATAACTCAAGTATTTTGGATTTTCGTTTCACCTTTGAGCTCAATAATGAAAGTGTGATGAAAGTGAGGAGAAAATGCTTGTAATTCAGTTCTTTAAATCTCTGTGTGTCCTGTAGTCAGCCACAGGCAAGTACATTAGTACCATGGAGAACATTAATGAAGGCTGGTGTAAAGACATCAGTGCAAGGAGCCACACAGATCGGCTCAACGTCTCTCTACTCTCAAAGTACTGTTCTACTTACTCTATATACTTATATTACTATACTAAATTAATTGAACAAGTGAAGTGGTTCTTATGAAGTTGAAATGACAAAATGATTCCCTCAAACATAACCAAACATTCTGCTCTTAGCGAGGGGAGGCGGTTTGCTTCTAAATCAAATAACCAATCATAAAAGAGCCCTTCTAGCCATTCAGAGGCGAGATAGGTGGAACCTTCCATCCAACACAACTGACACATCAGACTGTTCTGTGATTATTTCACTGTAGAATTCTTACAATCTGCACCTTTAAAGGAAACCTTGTTACTAAACATGTTTCTATTTTTCATTCATGTTTTTGCAATATCATGACTCTTGACTCTGTTTCCCATGCTTAAGCTATCAGATATGTTTGATCAGATTTTTTAAATTTGTATCCTGACTGTTTTCTCCGCCTGTGCTATTGCAACCATTTATTTAACCTTGGCCTTTGTCTCTGTCTCCTGTAGTCTGTACCCCTCCTCTTCATAGCTGTCTCCTACTGGAATGTCTCTGATACAGTCACCTTGTTAACACTTTAAAGCTGTTAAGATCAGAGAGCTTGACAAGCGGCAGTAAAATGTGGCAAGCATTCTCCTGATTAGATAGACTTTAATATAAAACAGCCAATTTGCCACCACTTTGATACCCACACTAAATAAAAGAATCGATGCACCCCTCTGCAAACGTCAAACCTAAAACAAAGCGACTATTCTGTTCTGTTCTTTGAAATGTAATCTAATGTATTTGTTTTAACAGACCATTAACTGCTACTAACATTCCCTTCGACTGCTGTTTGCTTTGACACACTGAATAAACCACCATTAGATATCTGACTTTCAAAAATAAACCTTCTTTTATTCCCCGTGAGTCATGTGTCATCATCTTCAGTAGGTTCCCCTTTTGTGACAGCTGATAGACACTTTGTTATGACCCAGAGGTGATTCTGACAGGGCATCAACAACCTCCCTCTTCTGAGTCACTTGCAGCCCTCTACTGTGGACCTTAAAGCTAGAATCTTGCTCAGCTGTACCTGTTAGTGACAAAGAGTGAATGGTGTTCGTTAGGGAGGATCCTAAAGTTCTTACATTTGTGATCATTTTTAATTTTGCAGAATGAGTCGCAGGGCCTCACTGGCATATCTTTCAAAGTGGTCGCAAAGTCACAAACCCTTCGCAATTTAGCTCCATTGAGCCTTGCAGAAAAGTGAAACAAGGAGGGAAATTGTGTAGTGACTGACACAAATGGCAACGAGTGTGAAATGTTGATAATGAGAACAGGTGAAACTAAAATGAGGATATCCTTTTAAGAAATAAAAACAACATTAAATATGGCCAGAATTCGTTGCGTAATGTATGGCTCTCATTAATTATTTTTGGAGAAATGTTAAAGGCTCTGAGATTGTAATGTGTTCAAAGCCTATTATAACTCTGTACTTTACATTTTCAGTCAGTATTTGCCTCTAAAGTGGATCCACAATCAGCATTATTAGGAATACAGCATGTTCCAAGCAAATGGATTAAATTTTCCACCTCCACGTTTGTTATTAAAAACTTTTCCATTTTATCAGCTGTTTTCAACACAAAATTGTAGATTTGCTGCAGCCTAACCCGATTCTGTGATATGAAACAATGAGCTCAGTATGTCCCAAATGCTCATAGTGGTGTTAGCGCAGATCCCTCAATGGAAGAATTGTGCTGCTGGAAACATCCCCCGAGTCTCTGCAGGCAATCCGATACTTTTCTCTGCTGTTAAAATGAGTCACTTAAAACAGCTTGTGTTACCCTAATGGCTGAACCAATATCTCTTCCATATCAGTAATATCAATAATTAACATTTATCATGACTTTTCCATAAAAGACAACTTGTTCTAGTTCCTGTTTTAACCACCACTGATTGTGTTTCACACTTGAACTATTGATTCAGGGTTTTTTTCCCCCCACATGTCACTTATTATATTTCCTTTTACAATATGTTGATATTTCAAATACCATGTACAAATAGGAATTATATAATTTAAATATTACCGTGTTGTATAGTAGTGTAACTTAAAGGTGTGGTTCACTGAAAAAAACATTTAGTTTTGATTATTTCCGATTATAATCGGTCACTCTGTCAGCTTTTCATGCAGGCAGAAGATGAAAATAGTCTCCTACACCTATCTTCTGCATTAGCTTCTGATAGAAGATAGATTATGAAAGTCTAGGATTTGAAAATCCTAACAGATCTACATCATGCTGTCACTTAATATTCGTGGACTCGCCCATCTTGAATCACGATGGGGAAGACTGTTGTTCTAACGTCCAGGCATCAGCAGACAACATCCCGACTATTAACAGCTAACCGTTAGCATTAGTAATGCCACCCCTACAGTCGTGTGTTATTTATGGAACTAAAACATCAACATTATATGTCAGTGGTAGAGTTGCGCTGCTGTTGTCTAATCTGATATGAGATGTCCAAATATCAGGAAAAAAGACTCCAAATCATGCTGTCTGCTGCCATCCTCTACCACCGAAGACTTGCTTGTGCCGATCCAAGCATTTCTGGGCTTTTCTGCCCTGAGTACAGCTTGCAAGGCATTCATTTCTGTCAGAGACCACTGCAAATGTATTCATTAACCTTTAATAATGAAGATAATGCTGCTTGTCACCACTTCATATTTTTTATGGAAATGGCACACGTTTCTCGCATAGCAAGGGACATATTTTACCTCTTAATAAAAAATAAATAAACACTGTTAAGCTTTTTGTATGTTTTTCATCCTCAAATCGCCCCAGTGAAGATAGACAGACAGAAAGATGTGTTTAGCTAGCCTGAGGGGAAAGAAAAAGCTTCATGCCAGCTGAAGTAAAAACTCAGCATGTATTTACCTATTTCTAAGTGTGTGTGTGTGTGTGTGTGTGTGTGTGTGTGTGTGTGTGTGTGTGTGTGTGTGTGTGTGTGTGTGTGTGTGTGTGTGTGTGTGTGTGTGTGTGTGTGTGTGCATGCACGCATGCATTCATGAGTGCACACCATGTGTTTGGCTTTGTGCACATGGGGGTAAAAGGTTATATGTTCTCTGCAAGTATTTGTCCAACTAAATGAGTACATAGTGACAACATGCACATCCCTGTCATCATCACATGACAACATCCCTCAAGCACAAACTTATGTGCAAATTTTTATGTAGAAAATAAATAAACAACAAAACAAACAAAAGGCAATGGTATCTGTTGGAAATGCACAAAAGCAAGCTCACTTTCATTTGTTGAACCAATAAAAGTTTATTTTTTTCATTGCAAGTGAAATATTGATACCTCAAAGTACTCAGCAGTCGGCTTTCCCTTACTGCGCTTGTATTTGTCTTCTGGATGATTCACAATGGTGCGGAAAGGCAAATACAGTCAGACAAAAGGGATGGGGGAGAAAAAGGATGAGGGAAGCAATATCAGGGTACAGGCTTGCCTTATTTTGCAATTTTACGACAAATACTTAATGAAAATCCCTGCAAGGGCAATAGAGGCCGATATTTAATTATGCCTTTATAAAATATTAACCAGGGAGGACAGGGCGATTTCCCCTCTCGCAGGGTCTCTTCAGTGGATTGAACCACAGTTTCACAGCATAGACAGCTTTAAATTATGATTACAGACAGAATGTAAGTGAGAGTGAGAGGAAGAGCTAGTCTATAGTACTCAGTAAAAAGCCAAAGGGGAGGCTGAGATGGGGGACTAATGCTGCTCCCATCACTACCTCTGGAATGTCTTCAAATTGCATTAGGAGGAACTATTGCCCTGATTTATAAGGGTTCAGATAGGTTCACTTTGCAGCCCCAGCACCCTTCTGTCTTTTCCTTTAACAATCTTTAAAATGACTTTGATCCCCTAATTTGAGCATTACATCCTGTGAAGGGCACGCTGTCCAGAAAAGGTGTAAATCACCACTAGAACCATGGTGTCTTCTTTTAACACAGAGATGATGATGGCTAGTTTATAGAGCACTGGGGACCGGCCTTAAAAACGCATACGGAGGTGAATATGAAGTAATAAAGAAGAGAAAAACACACTGTTGGATCTATTTCTGCTACAGTGGATCCCTTTCGTGAGATGTCACATGCAAAATATATTATTGATTTTGATGACGGAAACCAAAAGAGAAAACCAGAAGTAAAGTGTGGGATTCTACTGAAACTCTTGACTGTTTGAATTTAATGCAGTTCAGTTTAGTTTGTTTACATAGCACCAAGTCATGATGAGTCGTCTGAAAGCAATTCACACAGTAAACATTTCAATACAGTCCAGTTCATTAAGCCAGTCATTAAAACGTTTCTTATATAAGGTACCCAGCAGATTGCATCAAGTCACCAACAGGCTATAGTGTCTTTAGAGCAGTCCCCATTCTAAGCAAACATGTAGCAACAGCGGAGAGGAAGACTAATTTTTAACAGAAATAAACCTACACAGGATCCTGGCTCAGTATAAGGAGCCATCCACCACGACTCACAGAGGATTGAGAAGGCAGACCAGCTGAGTGTGAAGCAGGGAGGCACTGGGTCCTGTTTTTTGATAGTTTTTGGTACAGTGGGGCAAAAATGTATTTAGTCAGCAACCGATTGTGCAAGTTTTCCCACTTAAAATGATGACAGAGGCCAGTAATTTTCATCATAGGTACACTTCAACTGTGAGAGACAGAATGTGAAAAAAAAATCCATGAATTCACATGGCAGGATTTTTAAAGAATTTATTTGTAAATCAGGGTGGAAAATAAGTATTTGGTCACTTCAAACAAGGAAAATCTCTGGCTCTCACAGACCTGTAACATCTTCTTCAAGAAGCGTTTCTGTCCTCCACTCGTTACCTGTATTAATGGCACCTGTTTGAACTCATTATCTGTATAAAAGACACCTGTCCACAGCCTCAAACAGTCAGACTCCAAACTCCACTATGGCCAAGACCAAAGAGCTTTCAAAGGACACCAGGAAAAGAATTTTAGACCTGCACCAGACTGGGAAGAGTGAATCTGCAATAGGCAAGCAACTTGGTGTGACAAAATCAACTGTGGGAGCAATTATCAGAAAATGGAAGACATACAAGACCACTGATAATCTCCCTCGATCTGGGGCTCCACGCAAGATCTCATCCTGTGGGGTCAAAATGATCATGAGAACGGTGAGCAAGAATCCCAGAACCACACGGGGGACCTGGTGAATGACCTGCAGAGAGCTGGGACCATAGTAACAAAGGTCACCATCAGTAACACACTACAACGGCAGGGAATCAAATCCTGCAGTGCCAGACGTGTTCCGCTGCTGAAGCCAGTGCATGTCCAGGCCCGTCTGAAGTTTGCCAGAGAGCACATGGATGATACAGCAAAGGATTGGGAGAATGTCATGTGGTCAGATGAAACCAAAGTAGAACTTTTTGGTATAAACTCAACTTGTCGTGTTTGGAGGAAGAAGAATACTGAGTTGCATCCCAAGAACACCATACCTACTGTGAAGCATGGGGGTGGGAACATCATGCTTTGGGGCTGTTTTTCTGCTAAGGGGACAGGACGACTGATCCGTGTTAAGGACAGAATGAATGAGGCCATGTATCGTGAGATTCTGAGCCAAAACCTCCTTCCATCAGTGAGAGCTTTGAAGATGAAACGTGGCTGGGTCTTCCAACACGACAATGATCCCAAACACACCGCCCAGGCAACAACGGAGTGGCTCCGTAAGAAGCATTTGAAAGTCCTGGAGTGGCCTAGCAAGTATCCAGACCTCAACTCCATTGAAAATCTGTGGAAGGAGTTGAAAGTCTGTGTTGCTCGGGGACAGCCCCAAAACATCACTGCTCTCGAGAAGATCTGCATGGAGGAATGGGCCAAAATACCAGCTACTGTGTGTGCAAACCTGGTAAAGACCTATAGTCATCGTTTGACCTCTGTTATTGCCAACAAAGCTTATGTTACAAAGTATTGAGTTGAATTTTGCTATTGACCAAATACTTATTTTCCACCCTGATTTACAAATAAATTCTTTAAAAATCCTGCCATGTGAATTCATGGATTTTTTTTCACATTCTGTCTCTCACAGTTGAAGTGTACCTATGATGAAAATTACTGACCTCTGTCATAATTTTAAGTGGGAGAACTTGCACAATCGGTGACTGACTAAATACTTTTTTGCCCCACTGTATGACCCAACCGTGGAATTGAACTCACAATCTTCTAGTATCAGGACAGACACTAATACCACTAGAGCACTGAGCTGTGTGTGTGTGTGTGTGTGTGTGTGTGTGTGTGTGTGTGTGTGTGTGTGTGTGTGTGTGTGTGTGTGTGTGTGTGTGTGTGTGTGTGTGTGTGTGTGTGTGTGTGTGTGTGTGTGTGTGCGCACACTTCTTAAAAGCAAATTGTACCAATTGCATGAAAATAAAAACCCCTAAAACCAAGTTATATGTCTCATAACCTGATGGGAAAGTAACAGTAGTCATGAATTAACTCAGCTTACATGGATTTGTTCTACATCATTTGCAGATCCATACAGACTCAGATGAAGGCAAGGGAAACATCAAATACACCATCTCTGGTGAGGGGGCGGGTTCCATCTTCATCATCGACAAGCAGTCGGGAGACATACACGCCACAGAAAGACTGGACCGAGAGGAGAAATCCTTTTACACACTTCGAGCTCAAGCTCGAGACCTTCTCACCAATGACCTGCTTGAACCAGAATCTGAGTTTGTCATCAAGGTCCAGGATATCAACGACAGTGAACCTCAGTTCTTGGAAGGCCCGTACATTGGCAGTGTGGCCGAACTATCACCCATAGGTAAGTTTAGAAATGGGTATTTTTGTTCTGCAGGAAACATCTAGGTGTGATGCTTAAGGCTTCAAACCTCAAAGACGTAATTTTGCAATGCCATCATAGTGCTACAGTTGCTTTGCTGAATAAATACTGTATGTGTGATTTAAAAAGAAAGGAGCCTTTAAAACAGCATGTACCTTATTGTTGTATAATGTAGGCTTGGCATGTGACATGTCATACCCAAAATTTGATGCCATCTCTGACCTGTTTTTTTCTTTGTATTGCCAAATAAGTGAGTTTTTGATGTCAGTGATACATGATTGGCATTTTTGATGAGGAGGTGTGCGTGACCATTTAGGGCCTTTGCTGTGTAATCTATAAGCTTTGAATGTCAAACTAATTGAAAGTTGTGGCACTTAATGGCAATATGGAATTTGGCCTACTGCTGCAGCTAGGAGAGTTGTTTTTAATTTTACCACAATGCTATGTAAATTAGTAATGTTGTAAAGGGCACAGATAAATTATTATGTGTTCTGAGAAAAGCTGGCTTTACAGGTCATAAGCAAGCCATGCCTCCTTAAATCTACAAGTCCTTATCAGCAAGGTGAGGGGAGGCACACCGAGTAAAAATAAAATAAAGAGAATATAAAAGGCTGATCTACTAGAGTTCCCGGGTGCAAATCCCGGACGAGCCCCTATTATGTTACAATCCATAGTGTTAAAATGAATGACATGCACAAGATGGAAAGCTTCAAACAATTGCCTCAACTAATCTCTGAAATAAGGCATCTAAACTAAAAGTCCTACGGTCAAACACAAAGTAGCTATGTAGCTCAATACACTAAGTAAATCAAAGGACGAGAGTACATGCACAAAGTTCAGTCTAAAAGTAGTGGTAACACATAGCTAAGGAGAACAACAGAGAAGGTATGTGTCCCCTTGAATGTCTCTGAGTGTCCGTTTAAATAGCCTTATGTGAGGATGACATATGATGATTGAGTTTAGCTACAGCTGCTGCTGGTTTGGGGCGTGCCTCTCTCCATGGTGCTGAACCGACTGAAACTTCAGTGCTGGAGCAGGAGCTGTCCCTGGTTCTGAACAGCAGGAATGGCAAGGACACTAGGAGGAGCAGCAGCATAACTGGAGGGCTAACGAGAATTACACACAGAACACACTAGCTGCAGAGCGGATCACTCACAAAATCCGTGCACTGCCCGTTCTCCTCTGTTCACATCAGGCAAGAATTTCCGGCGAGCGCTTCTGCTCACGCCTACTGTTTCCCAAAATTGTCTTTATTTTGTTAAATTTACCAGCCTGCCTCTTCTGTTTTGGTTTGAATTTCCCTCTGAATTGATGCAGCTCACTCATGAAAAAATTATAGCTCACACCGAAACAATGGCTGCACAGCGCAAACCTTTGGGGTGCTTTGCAACTGATGTGACCGAGAGCGCAGGTTAACAAGGACACCGAATGGAAGCTTTGCGGCTCATCGATGCACTTCCATGTCTGGTGTATTCCGGACTTTACACAGACCATAACAGTTGACCATATAAATGTTGGTTGCTGCTGAAAAGTGCTAGGCCAAACTACCTCTAATGCTTAGCTGAACTACTGCTAGTGCTAGCCTTATTTGCTAATGCTTTTTTGGACTAAATGAAAAAAAAATGAAAAAAAAAAACAATTTTCAAGAACCACTCATGCTTTAGTACTGGGAATATCCAGACTATGAACAAATGCCAGATAGAGCCATAGCTTGTGCTCCTTGTGCCTGTCATTTCATCCCACTCTCCCATGGACATTGGTCGTTCATGCACGTGCCCCACTTCACAGACACTCCCTTCCTTGTTTATGCAAAGTCTCAAAAGCAACTGTTTCCAATTATACATGAGCAGTATCATATTGACCCTTTAATGTTGAACTTTTTGCAATCAAGGGATGGTCATCCCGACCAACTGGGCTCTAATTCTCATCAAACCACAGGTGTGCCATGCTAGATGACAGCAGGATTATGAAAAGGAGCTTTAACCTGATAGTTAGAAGGAAATGGAAAATGAAGGAGACATCGAAGGCAAACAAATGAAACAGAAGCAAACAGATTACTCCCTGATGAGCTTTGTGGCTGTGCTCCGTCACATTGTTGTGAGGCAAGTGATACAGGAGAGGAGACAAGGGAAAGGTGCTTCAGAAAAACAGATGATAGCAAGGGGAACCACATATTCTGTGAGGTTTCAAACAGTGACACTACAACAGTTTTAGTCCTGACAAACTTGTTTTTGTTGTGAGCAAGCGTATTAGAAGCACCCTGCGGCTGCTGAAAAGTCTCTGTGGACTGGAGCAGACAGGTGAAGGAGGATGTTGGGAGCTTCATTAGCATGGTATTAATGTCAAAGACAGCTGATGTTTAATAAACAAAATTCTGTTCTGCTGCCAGGAGATATCACAATACCTTGTGCACTGAAAATGTTATGTGTGGCGTGTGTGTGTGTGTGTGTGTGTGTGTGTGTGTATGTGCGTGCGTGCGTGCGTGCGTGCGTGCGTGCGTGTGTATGTGTGTGTGTGTGTTTCTGCAGGAGAGTTTTGTGGATTGCTTCTTGTTTGAGTGACTACAGGAGTGTTGCAAAATGGAATGACTCTTACCCCTGTTCAAGCCTGATTGGAATTAATTATTGCTTCCTCAGCATGATTCAAACCATGGGCATTTTCTGTCTACTGTGCACTCTAAAACTGAATGGGTTTGTTTGTGTGCGCATGTGTGTTAGTCTGAGAGAGAGAGAGAGAGAGAGAGAGAGAGAGAGAGAGAGAGAGAGAGAGAGATAGAGAGAGACAGAGAGAGAGAGAGAGAGAGAGAGAGAGAGAGAGAGAGAGAGAGAGAGAGAGAGACTGTTTGAGAGGGTTAGTGAAAGGTGGCAAAAATGTGAGCTGTTAAAAAAAGAGTAAAGCTGCAGACTCGTTATGCAAAAGCAGATGGTTATCTTCTAAAGAACAGAGAGATGGAGTCGATAAGGCTGTTTTTAAATAAAACCTATTAATGCAATCTTAATTGTCATGACCTTTCCACCTCAGGTGCTACCTCTTGTTTGACCCTGTCAAGCTTTAATGAAATTATGCACTAAATGGAGGTGCAGTTCATGTTTTAAACATTGTTTTGTCGCTCTAGCCCTAATGAGGTAACATCAGCTGCTAAGTCAAGTATTATCCTGCCTGTCCCTTCTTTTGTCTTTGCTCTTTTTTCGCTGAAAACCCGCTAAAGCAAGCAGTATTTTTTGACAAGTCAATAATAAGGTCAAAAACACAATGACAGGAACAGAATGTAAAGGAAAAGGTAAAAAAAGGAAAGCAGGTTGCCCAATAAATCAAGTTTACTAAAACAATATCTCCCCCAGATGTACTTTTTTGTTTACTTTATGGGAAACTAATCATTTTAAAATAAATGTATTGCAATGATAAGAGATTTTTGACATAACAAAAGTGACAAATGAAAAGTTGTTGACTGTAGCAACATGTGTTCACTGCGCAAACAAAGCCTGTTAATTGCTTACATATCTGCATGACCATTAAACAATTAAAATCTCATCAGTGAGCTAGGTTACTGCAATAGGTGACACGTTTCAGAGCTGCAGTGAGCACTGATTGACTTCATTTAACCCCTCAGAGTCTATTGTGTTGATCTGAATAACAAATACAATCTCAAATGCTTAGTTTGTTGCAGTTTGCAGAGTTTACATGTATCTCATTCTAAATGCCCTATCACCAACTTTAAAAGAAAATTATTTGGGTTCTAAAGAAACAGTTAATGATTTAAAATTATCAGTTTTTGAATCTGTTTCTATGCCATCCACAGTTTATTTTTGATTATTCCAGGTTTCAATGTTTGATCTCTAGCTTGTTTTTTAATTAATATTATTTTTGTGCGCTCTTTCAAATAAAACTTGTCTTAAAGCTGAGCTTTGTCGTTAAAAAAAAAAGTAAATTTAAATGCTTAAAATGGACTATCTGCTCCTATTCTATGAAAGTACATAATCGTTCATAATTTCTCCGTAGTCCCTCCCCTGGTTTCCACAGCAACAAGAAACATGTCCACAAACCTAGAGTGCTGACCGATAGATTTGCTTATCCACAACAGGGAGCTGTCCACAGACATCATAGTTGTAGACACCCCGTGCCTATTGGAGCTGGTGTAGCAGTGGGTTGCCATCTTGTAAGAGTCTCCATTTGCACCCATTGCATTTATTTCTACTGTGGAAGATGTTTACCCAACTAAATAAAAACATTTTATTATGCGTTTTCACAAAATCAGACATATGGGATGACATGATAATTAAAAAATGTAATTGAATAAAAAATATATATATTCATATAAATATACTATATTATCTCAACAGCTAGGCTAGTAAAGTCAATAGTACTAGTGATCTGTTTTAATAGTATGCAGATTGCTGCCACCGTATTGCTTCACAAAACAAAAAATAAAAAAAATGGGTATCGTATGGCGGCAACGCTGTTATTGTCTCCAGCACCGAGTGGGGCATCTGTGTATTAATGTCTGGAATGTGCCTAAGTTCCCAGCATGCAATGCAGGGTAAGGTCTCAGTCAGCTTAGCACACTAGCCTAGCTTGAATGCTAACTCTATCTGCATTGAATTAATGTCAGTCTGTAACCTTGAAGCCAACTGTAGAAGAGGAAGGAGGGGAACAAAAAGGGATCTATCTTTTTTGTTTTGGAGCAGAGTGATTAGCCTAGCAGTCAACCTGAAGGCCGTGATATAATTACTGTTTCACGATGCAAAAGTGTGTTTAAAATAGTTGCCAAGCGTTACGTGCGTTGATTTGAAGCATCGTTTGTGTGCGTTCTCGGAATTTTACGTGATGCGTCTGAACACTGCAATATACATTTAACCACAAGGTGAAGTTGACAAAACGAGCAAGACACTCACCATGGTGACTCCATCTCTGGTTTAGAGGTCTTTCATACCATCTGCGACAGTTTTTCCCAACCCTGGTCCCCGATGCACACTGTCCTGCAT